AAGGAGTTCTCTGTATAACAGGAACAGGACCTCAGTGAGGAAAGAAAATACGGCATGTGCAGATGTCAAACTGCCTTCACTCTCATATGTCAGTGAACAACTACTTCATTGTTATATGAAGGAGAGCTGTCCTCACTGTGTAAGGTTTTGAGTATATAACGATATCCATTCTCTGCCCTTGTGTAAACATAAAAAAGATGCAGTCCATCAGTCATCCAGGATAAAGCACAACAGTTCAAATAATTCACTTGAAATGTATCCATCTAAGGACAGATGACAATGATATCTACATTTACTAATTTCTTATTGGATAAATACATTATCTGTTTAATCCTAGAGTTCCTCAAGCTGAACATCATAAAAAATGATGAATTAAGAGGATGCGGAGTTAATAAATATACTCCGGTCCAGTCAGCAAATGACTTAGATGAGCTAATGTTGAAAATCAAACTTTAACCCTTAAAACCCATATGTTGAACAATACACTAATCAATAATACACTGATTATGAGTTTGGCCCTACTGTTCCATTATTACCTATTAAATAGTTATCTAATTAGAGATATATTTCATTACATATCCTCAGCCAGTCTCTCAGATTATCACAACATTAAATAGTGTAATAGAAATGTTTTATATTGCACACAAGGTTACAGTTTGCAATAATAGTTTGCCTATGAATTCTGCAATAGCAGTTTGCTTATGAATTCTGGAAATTTTCATAAAATTGACTTCCTTTATGTAATATGGGCTACTATTTGATAGAAATCTTTACTGGTTCATGATACTATCATGTATGATCATTGCATGATCTTGGAAGAAAAAAAAATGATTGGACTTAATTTACTATTGAGGAATCTTGAGGTTCAGTAAAGACCTGTGAGCTGCCAAAGGTCCCAAATTCAAGAGCCAATATATGGTTGATGAAGTAGCTACAAATCTGCCATTTTTTCTATTATCTGTAATTTCCATCCAAATCGAAGATTGTCATACTAATTTTAGATGGCTATTCTGAAGCATCCAAACTTCTGCCATGTAAGGTATTAGTTCATCATGGCACTCCTCCTAAATCTTGACATAAAGAGCACATGGCAGAGCATTACCTATGGGGAGCGTCTACAATGTGACTTCAACAGGCAATATTAATGTGCCACTTATGTTCGTTGACTATTAGGTGACAAATGAGCTCACTTTTGTTGGTAAACATACGTTTAATATCAGGATAAAGTTATAGAACATGATCAAATTAATTATGATGAAATTGGTGGCTCAATAATCCTCAGACATCAGTAGAGCCACATAGCAACTGGAAATAGAAAACCAGCATTTAAACCTCAGATGCCCTTCACAAAGATGTATGTTTTAAAACCAGCTTTATTTCTTGAGCACATTTTAAAATACTCCAATTGTAGAGAACTACAACATATCTTTGCTCCCAAATCAAAGCTCAGGAATTGAAGTCAATGTAGTTATTTTAATGAAGAGAACCGAATATAGGGAGTGGGTTCAATTGTTACTGCAGGACAAAGGCAAAAGGAAACAATGTAGTAACAGAAACAGTAACTGAAGAGTAGCCTCTAAACTCTGAGGCTTCGGGGAGGGAAGGTGTTAGTGAAGTACATTGAACTTTCAGTGTGATGAGCCTTAGTGACCAGGAGTGGAATTACGTAATAAAGCTACATGGGCCAGGTGCGGTGACTCACGCCTGCAATACCAACACTTTGGGAGGCCAAGGTGGATGGTTGACTTGAGGTCAGGAGTTTGAGATCAGCCCAGTCAACATGGTTAAGCCCCGTTTCTACAAAAATACAAAAATTAGCTGGGCGTGGCACCCTGTGCCTGTTATCCCAGCTACCCGAGAGGCTGAGGCAGAATAGCTTAAACTCAGGCAACAGAGGTTGCAGTGAGCTGAGATCATGCCACTGCACTCCAGCCTGGGCAATAGAGAGACTCCGTCTCAAAAAACAAAAAAAAACCTACATGGGAAATAGAATAGGGTGTCGAGTACCAATCTGGCAAAAGATGAGTACAGATCGATCAGAACAGAAATACTATGAACACCAGCATGAGAAACAGGTCTTATCTCCTTACTATTTTGAAATATTCCATATTATTGTTAGTTTTATCTGATGACTATTAAATACTCGAACTTAATTATTCTGCATGGACTTTTGGACCCATATACCAACTTCTCTTCAACCCCCTCCCCATTTTTACCATGCTCTGGTAGCCAATATTCTACTCTCTGCCTTCATATTAACTGTTTAGCTCCTACATATGCATGAGAACACGCAGTATTTGCATTTTTGTGCCTTCCCTATTTCACTTAACCCAATGACCTACAGTCCCATCAAAGTTGTTGCAAATGACAAGATGCCATTTGTTTTACAACTGAATCATCTCATTGTAAATGCACACACATTTTGTTCACCAGAAAGTAAAAATAACACAATTTTTGAAGAACCAGGCTCTGAATGGGAAGTCTAGGAATATTGTTACCATAGTTCCTATTTCTCTTTTTATGTATGCACAAGAAGAAAATACGAAAATCTGTATGTATATAAATATACAGTTGCAGTAGATAAAATGAAAATTCTAAGTGGTGAAAATAACCCAGCATAATGACAGTCGGTTCACTGTTGAAGGCAATGCATTTGAAGAAATCACATTGCCTGGTGATACAATAAACTCTCTTATAACTTACATTTTTGACCTTAATTCCTGCGGGAGCTTCACCAGCTGAACTCTATCTGATGCTTTTTAACATCCTCATACTCACACAGGTCTAAGTAAATCAGAATCTCTGGTAATGAGACCCAGGCCTCAGCATTTATAAGCTCTCTGGGTGATTTCAATCTAAACTCAAACTTGACCAGTGACAAGGATCCTCACATATAATCTGCCTAAATAGATTTTATGGATGCAAAGCGTAAATAAACTACAAGTGAACAGTGAAAAGAAACGTAAACGTGAAGTACAGTAAATTTTTGTTTAAGGTCTCTAGTGATTTTGGAAACTGCAACAAGAAAAATAATGTATAATGAAACCAGATTGTTTTTCACAACTTTACAGCTAAACAATATTAAATGACATCATTTGAGGACCTCCTATAATTATTTTCTTAAAGTCAAGTTTCCAATAACCTATCAACATTATGTGAGAACTTAACTGTATACAAGAGCAATGTGGCCAGGTGTGGTGGCTCACGCCCCTAAACCCAGCACTCTGGAAGGCCGAGGCGGGCAGACCACAAGGTCAGGAGTATCAAGACCAGCCTGGCCAACACGGTGAAACCCCGTCTCTACTAAAACTACATAAATTAGCTGAGCACGATGGTGATCACCTGCAGTCCCAGTACTCGGGAAGCTGACGCAGAAGAATCGCTTGAACCATGGAAATGGAGGTTGCACTTATGCCCGAAGTTGGTGGGTTCTTGGTCTCACTAACCTCAAGAATGAAGCTGCACACTCCAGCGGTGTGTGTTACTGAAAATGACGTGTCCAAAGTTTGTTCCTTCAGACGTCCAGATGTGTCTAGACCTTCTTCATTCTGGTGGGTTAGTGGTCTCGCTATCAGCAGTGAAGCTACAAGCCTTCACAGCCAGTGTTACAGCTCTTAAAGATGGCACAGACCCAAAAACCGAGCAACAAGATTCATTGCAAACACGGAAAAACCACCATCTCTCACACTGTGAAAATAAACCCAAGAAGCTTGCTACTAGCTGCGGCAGCCTGCTTTTATTACCTTATCTGGCTCCACCCACATCCTGCTGATTGGTCCATTTTACAGAGAGCTGATTGGTCCGTTTTGACAGAGTGCTGACTGGTGCATTTACAAACCTTGAGCTAGACACAGAGTGCTGATTGGTGCGTTTACAATCCTTTAGCTAGACACCAGCGCTAGACGGGAAAGTTCTCCAAGTCCCTATTAGGTCAGATACTAACTAATCAGAGTACTGATTGGTGTATTTACAAACCCTGAGCTAGACACAGAGTGCTGATTGGTGTATCTACAATCCCTCAGCCAGACATAAAAGCTCTCCGAGTCCCCACCACACTCAGGAGCCCAGCCGGCTTCACCCAGTAGACACCGCTCCGGGACACAGGCGGAGCTGCCCGCCAGTCCCGCACAGTGCACCTGCACTCCTCAGCCCCTGTGCGGTCGACGGGACCGAGCGCCTCGGAGCAGGGGGCGGCGCTCGTCGGGGAGGCTGGGGCCACAAGGGGGCCCACCGCGGGCCGGGGATGGGTTTGGCCATAGGCGCGCTGCAGATCCCGAGCCCTGCCCCGCGGGGAGGCAGCTTGAGTCCCTGCGAGAATTCGATCGCAGCGCCGGCGGGCCCGTACTGCTGGGGGACCCGGCGCACCCTCTGCAGCTGCTGGCCCGGGTGCTAAGCCCCTCACTGCCTGAGGCCAGGGGCGCCGGCCGGCCGCTCCGAGTGCGGGGCCCGCCGCGCCCGCGCCCGCCGGAACTCGCGCTGGCCTGTGAGCGCCGCGCGCAGCCCGGGTTCCCGCCCGCGCCTCTCCCTCCACACCTCCCCACAAGCAGAGGGAGCTGGCTCCGGCCTCGGCCAGCCCAGAGAGGAGCTCCCACAGTGCAGTGGCGGGCTGAAGGGCTCCCCAGGCACGGCCAGAGTGGGCCCTGAGGCCGAGGAGGTGCCGAGAGCGAGGGCTGTTAGCATGTTGTCACCTCCCACAGTGAGCTGAGATCGCACCACTGCACTCCAGCCTGGACAAAAGAGCGAGAATCCTTAAAAAAAAAAAAGAAGAAGAGAGATGTAATTTCATCTGGATACCAGGGTCATTGCCCAGAAACTAAGAGAGTCTGTCTAGGTATATTGGATTCAATCCTGATGTTTATTAAGAACAAAGAATATCAGAATACTCAGCAATTCCAATTAGAGACATAATGAAGGAAGCAATATTCTTTGCAGGTCTAGATATTTGACCGTGCTGCCTTTTCCAACCCACGCTAAAGAATAGAACAGATAAGATAATGAGATTAGAGTATTCTGGCTTGCAGCTGCCGCAGGGCACTTTGAATGTCCCTGTTTCTCAGACTGTAGATGAAGGGGTTCAGCATGGGGGTGACCACCGTGTACATCACTGAGGCCACTGCACCCTTTCTGGGATAAGAGGACACGTCTGAACTGAGGTACCCTCCAACGCCTGTTCCATAAAATAAGCAAACAACTGACAGGTGAGAGCCACAGGTGGAGAAGGCTTTATACCTCCCACCTGATGATGGAACCCGCAGAATGGAGGAAACAATTTTATAATAAGAGAAAAGGATCCCCAAGATGGGAAGAAAACCAAATATGGCAGCAAGGAAATACATGACTATGTTATTGGTGAAGGTGTCACAACAGGCAAGGTGGGGGAGTTGAGAGGGGTCACAGAAGAAATTGGGAATTTCCGCATCTTTGAAGCAGGTAATTTGTAAGGCAATCCAGTTGTGCAGCTGGGAGTCTAAAAGACTGAGAAAAAAAGACAACAAAACTAGGAAGCCACAGAAACATGGGTTCATGATGACTGGATAATACAGAGGGTAACAAATGGCCACAAACCGGTCATAAGCCATCACACTCAGGAGCATGTCTTCCATGCCTCCAAAAACGGCAAAAAGTGACATCTGAGTCAGGCAGCCCACATAGGAGATGACTCTGCTGTGAGTTTGGATGTCAACAATCACCTTGGGGACGGTGGTGGAGGTGAAACCGATGTCAGTCAAGGACAGGTTGGAGAGGAAGAAGTACATGGGGGTGTGGAGGTGGGAGTCAGAGCTGACGGCCAGGATGATGAGGAGGTTCCCCAGCACGGTGACCAGGTACATGGACAGGAACAGCCCAGCGAGGACAGGTTGCAGTTCTGGATCCTCTGAGAGTTCCAGGAGGAGGAATTCTGAGACATCTGTTAGATTCCGTGGATCTGCACGGTTTGGACAACTTTTGAGTAGAAAAGAGGGTTGAAAAAAAGGAAACAAGTAAACCAACACCCAGCACTGTGTCTGCATTTTGGATATAAACAATTCACAAGTAATGTTTCCAGATTTCAGAGCAAGGCACACTAAGCAGTATTTTGCAGTTGTGACAAACTCAATTTTCTTATAATTATTTCAGCATTGATTTTTGTGTTATTCACTTCTTGCTATACACACCTGCCCTAGAGACACTAGATTCAAGAATATTCCAAGAACCAGATCATTATATAGAACAAATTCATAATTGCTAGAAAATACAGCTTATCTTTTCAGAAGAAAAATAGGTAATAAAAACATTGACTTCACTTTAAGCAAACGTTTATCCTAATTAAAGGAAATTAAGAACTCAAACATATTATTTTATTCTAATAGATTGCCACAAATTCCCTTGATTTAGAACATTTCTAAACACTGTATAACAGCTGAGACCATGTCATCTGGAAATGAAATTAAAGTTGATGGTTCATAATCAGAAGATATTTCCACATGCCAGTTATGTTCTAGTGATTTCATCATTATGTTTTCTGACTTTTCTCCTTCAAAAAAGTAATTGCTTACTGAAATAGGTGGACCTTGTTTTAAAATTCAAGATATAACTCCTGTTCTTGGCTTAGGTGGATTTAGAGTTTCCATAAGAAAGTTTGGCCGGACGCGGTGGCTCACGACTGTAATCCCAGCACTTTGGGAGGCCGAGGCAGGAGGTTCACGAGGTCAGGAGATCAAGACAATCCTGGCCAACATGATGAAACTCCGTCTCTATTAAAAATACAAAAAGTTGCCGGGCGCGGTGGCTCACGCCTGTAATCCCAGCACTTTGGGAGGCCGAGGCGGGCGGATCACAAGGTCAGGAGATCGAGACCACGGTGAAACCCCGTCTCTACTAAAAATACAAAAAATGAGCCGGGCGCGGTGGCGGGCGCCTGTAGTTCCAGCTACTCGGGAGGCTGAGGCAGGAGAATGGCGTGAACCCAGGAGGCGGAGCTTGCAGTGAGCCAGGATCGCGCCACTGCACTCCAGCTTGGGCGACAGAGTGAGACCCCGTCTCAAAAAAAAAAAAAAAAAAAATACAAAAAGTTAGCCCGGCATGGCAGGGCACCTGTAGTCCCAGCTACTCGGGAAGCTGAGGCAGGAGAATCGCTTGAACCCAGGAGGCAGAGGTTGCAGTGAGCCGAGATTGCGTGACTGCACTCCAGCCTGGGCAACAGAGTAAGATGCTGTCTCAAAACAAAAAAAATTTTTTTTAGTTAAATGCAGTAACCATAGGCCAGCACTGACCACACCAATGTCCACAGTGTGCAACAGAGCTGTCGATGGTTAAACGATAATGAAGTTCTAAGAACACTTTTGGATTACATTCTTGGACTCTGGAATAATGTGAAAGTCTAAAATGTGTCTCAGTCCAAGCAATCAGGTTTACCTGCCCACGTTTCTTTCCGCCTCTGTTTCTTTTTGTGATACTTATGAAACGCTCTGCCTTGGTTTTCGAATAATCGAATGCTGTGAATACTAATCAATAGAATCAGAGGGCCCACGTGTCATGACATAGACACAAATGAGTGTTATTTTATCATCTCTAGTTCTTTTTCTTGTCTTTTATAAGCCATCACACTCAGGAGCATGTCTTCCATGCCTCCAAAAACGGCAAAAAGAGACATCTGAGTCAGGCAGCCCACATAGGAGATGACTCTGCTGTGAGTTTGGATGTCCACAATCATCTTGGGGACGGTGGTGGAGGTGAAACCGATGTCAGTCAAGGACAGGTTGGAGAGGAAGAAGTACATGGGGGTGTGGAGGTGGGAGTCAGAGCTGA